GCTCACCTGGACCGCGGTCCCTCCGGCGCCGGCCGAGCCTCGCCGCCCACCCCGCCCCCGCCCCAGCCCCACAGGCCCGCGACCCGCTGACACCGAGGCGGAAGTGCGGCCGGCCGCCAGGCAGACTGACAGCCGGCGCTCTCCACTCGCCGCGCCCGGCGCCGGAGCGTCAGCGGCCGTCCGCCCAATCCGCGCCCGGCCCGAGGGCCGCGCCGGGAGGCGGGACTATGCTAATCATTTGCGGGAGCGGCAACCCCCGTTGCCCCTCGGGAGTCCCGCCCGCGCGGAGGAGTGACGCCACGGACAGCCAGTCATAGCAGGCAGAGGCGGGGTTATGCAGATATTGACCCTAGGTGGGTGGGAGAGAGGGAGGAAGGGGCGTGGCTGGACGGGTTGAGTTTACAAACAGCGAGTCAGGTGGCTGGGGTGCTGGGCGGTTGGTGGCTCTGCGCTCCGCTGTTCCCGACCCCCAGGGGACGGGCGGCGGCGGGAGTCCTCCTCTCAAAGCTGTCTTCCTCAGTTCAAACATGTTGCGGGCTCCCCCTTGTCCACCCTCCTTGGCATACCATTCATCGCTCACCAGAATCCTGCGCCAATTTACCCTCCGGCCGTATCCCTGGCAGTTAATTCCCCTGTTTAAAACTCACTAATCTGTAGTGGCTCCGCGATTGAGCCCAGAAGCTCTGGAGTCAGACCCCGAGCTTGCATCCTTATCAGCTGTGTGGTCTTGGGCAAGTTAAGTAACCTCTCTGAGCCTATGAGCACCCAGCTTTTCTTTTGCAAACTAGGTTTCTCCCACCCTCATCCCATTTGAATCACAGGTCTGGGTTTGGGTGAGTGGAGTAACAGGAACCAGGCTGGTTGCTCAGAAAGTGATTGATTCAGGGGTGAGCAAGTGACCCTGTCCTGGCCAATGAGGGTCCGCCCTGAGACTTCCGCTGGGAGTCGGAGAGCTCAGGCCAGAAGGAAGGCTGAGGCCAAATGACTCTCCCTTCTGCCCACAGACCTCTCCAGAACTGGGCCGGCTGAGAGAAAGACGCTGTCTGGAGCTACTTACTGGGCATCTGGCCACCGTGAGGGATGTGGCGCCCGGGAATGAGGCCAGCCCAGAGGGAAGCGAGAGCACACGTCCTGGGTCACCTGGAACAGCTACACCCTAAGCAAGCTCTGTCCTAGACTTTTCAGTTACAGGAGCTACTGTATTTTCTTTTCTGCTGAAGCCAGTTTGAGTACAAAGGAATACTGAGTCTTGCACCCCCAACAGTACTGACAGAGTAGTCGTGACCACATGGCACATGGAGACAGTCCCGCTCACGGCCGCCTCTTCCACAAAGCCGGACCCCAGCCCCACCGTGCCCCACCCGGCCTCCTGTCCCCCAATGCTGGTCTCCGTGCTGCCACCTCAGAATGTGATTCCCCGTCTCTAGCAAGGAGGAGGTACTGACAGGTCACCCCAGCAGGACTAAGGGTGCCTTGAGGGCAGGGGCCGGCCTCGACTGAGTGGATGGGGTCTCCGGCAGGAGTGGGGCCCAGAGATCCCGTCATCCCCCATCCTAGAGACTGGCCCAGCTCACTGGTGGGCCCTGTCACTGCCGCCCGCCGACGTGCCGGGACTGAAAAGGAGCTCTCCCAACCTCTGCTGTAGAGAGAAACCAGGAGGGGGTGGGGCCAAGCCTCCGAAACAAAGGCGTTGCCATGGTTACCCCTGAAGAAACCGACCCCAGCAGAAGAGGGAGGTGTGTGCAGGCCCCCAAGCCAGGACGAGGACAAGGCCTGTTGCCATGGAGATGCTCCAAAGCTTCCCTTGTGGGCCTGGCCAAAGTCCAGTGCAGGGTCCCGAAACCACCACCCCTCATTCGAAGACGGGGCTTTGCGATTCTGACCTAGGGCAAAGGACACGCCCCGAGGGATTCAACCTGCTGGCCCACCCCGTGGCCATGACCTCTGGGGTGAGTGCGGTATCGGGGAGCTAGGGCCAGAGGAGAGGCTGGAATGGACAGAGTCTCCTGTCTGCCCACGGGCCACACCAGGGCTGAGCTTGACCACCTCTGCCCTGGCCTTGGAGTGGGGTAGGGCCTGACCCCAGGTGGGCCCTGCGGCTGGGATATCAGTTTACCCCCTTTTAACAGATGCAATAAACTGAGCTCCAAGGATCAGGTGCTGGTCCTTCCTGGTCCCCGAGGCCAGGACTGAGTGACAATCCCCTCTTGGCTGATGGCTGGGAGGACGGCACCTGGGACCCAACGCAGGAGCATTTTTCCTGATCTTCAGTAGGTCAAGAGGCCGATTCCAGAGGCAAAATTCTCTAAGAATGGGACAGAAGATGGGAGCGGAAAAGGAGACCGAGGGTTTGGGACCATGCGATGATGGTGGTGGTGGCTGACATCATCCAGTGGGTGACATGTCTTGTCCAGTTTCATGCCTGCGACGGCCAACCGAGTAGATACTATGTGTGATTCCCACTGTGCAGATGAGCAGACTGAGCCTGTGCTGAGGAAGTGGCCCAGGAGCTTGTCAGAAAGACAGAGACCTGCCCAGACCTCCCCGCCGGGTCTGCCCCTGAACCAGATGCCCAGCTGTTCCTGGGTGGCTGGGGCCCTGTGGGACTCCGTATGGGTCACCATATCAACTACTGTTGACCTACCCACTGGCGGGGGATTGTCACAGAGTCTCCTCCATCCTGAGCGCTCAGGCCTGGCTTGGCTCCCAGGGGCCCCTCGGGATCCCGGGGGTCCATCCACGTATGCTGGGCTGGTACGTAACTTTCAGGGTGCCTGCTCCTGCAGGAACTGCTCTCCGACCAGGCCAACCCCAAGAGTGTCTGTGTGTCCCTCACCGCCCCAGAATTAGAACCTCCCTGTCCCACGTCCCGCACGAGGCTCAGTTGATATCGTGACCCAGCAGCCCTGTGGGTGGCTGCCCAGCCTCCCCTCAGCAGCTGGCCGACCTGTGGGCCCGGTGCCCGGAAGCCCCAAATGTGTGGGAACGCGTGCCCCTGCTGTGCCGTCAGGAGGCACATTCACACGCACTACCCTCCTGGCTGTCTCCCCGAGAGGACGCAGAACACGGATGATGCCTCCTTCAGATGGGGAAACGGAGGCTCAGGCAGCAGAGCAGGCTGTCTGCTCGCTGCAGAGCCGGCCGGCAGCCAGAGCCACCCCGTAAGCCCAACCGGGCTGGGCGTCCAGGAGTGCCGATGCCCGCACTGCTGGCCTGGCCTTTGCCTTGGAAGGGGGCGGGGCGGGGCCCGAGGCTCAGCCCTCTCCCTGCCACCCACGGGCCTTTGCAGAGACACTTTCCGCTCTCTTCTGTGGGATGCTGGGGCGTCTCCTCTGAGGATGCCACCTGGGTGGCCGGAGAGCGCTGGCCACCGCGGCCTGGCCCTGGCCCTCACGTGGCCCAAGCGGATCCTTCCCCATGCAACCTTCTCGTCTCCTCTGCAACGTGACAGCGCTCGGCTTCCCCGTCGTCGGAGGAGGGTATTTTTAGTTTTGAACCCACCACGTGAAGAGAGACAAGTTATCAATAGCAGCGGCAAAGGGCTTTTTCTTTTTTTTCCCCATGGCTTTGGGGCCTGAGCAATCTGCACCCGTTAAATTCTGCCAAAGAAAAAACAGTGCCTTCCTCTTACCCACTTTCCACCCCGCTGCGGCTCTGCCAGCCAGCTCCTCCCGGCGCGACCCCGCCTGACTCAGCGGCACCCCCATCCCTGGGGGAGGGAGTTGGCCCTGAGGTCAGCGTGTCCCCTGGAGGAACGGGCGGGGGTGAGCTGACCCCGGGGGGCCGAGAGAGAGGGCAAGGCAGGCACGCGGGGGTTGGCGGGGCCCTGCCTTCCACACCCACAGAGGTCACATAGGCCCCACTTCTAGCTTCAGTAGCAGCCCTAGCATTTATTGAGCACTTACTGTGTACCCAGCAGTGGGCTGAGCATCTTTGAGGGCGCTTTCCCAAACCAGGTGCCATGCAATCCCCAGTCCCTTGTGGCTGTTATTAGGTGTTTCTGGAAGAAAGGGTTTCGTGGCCAAGTAGTTTTGGGAAAGCTATGTAAATGAAGCCGACGAGGGGGCACCCAGGTGGCTCAGTCAGTTAAGCGTCTTGATCTCGGCTCAGGTCATGATCTCATGGTCCGTGAGCCCTAAGACCCATGTGGAGCTCAGTGCAGAGAGCAGAGTACAGAGCGTGGAGCCTGCTGGGAACTCTCTCTCCCTCCCTCTCTCTCTCTGCCCCTCCCCCGCTCGTTCGTGTGCGTGCGCACGTGCGCACGCACGCTCTCTCTCAAAATAAATAAATAAATGAAATCATAACTAAATAAATAAACTAGGCCAACAAGTGTCCTCTCCGATGCAGGGCTTCCCAGGGCCCTGCTCACTCTGGTATATGTGGGAGCCGCTGGGATACGGAGGACCCACCTACAGACCCAGGATTTGCTGGAACTGGGAGCTTTTCTTCCATGGAGTGTCCTGCAAGATGCTGGAGGGACCCCTACCTTGCTGGGGGCAGGGACGTTCGGACCAACGCAACTGCCTTCCCTTCAGGGTCAGCTGGAGCTGCATGTATAGAAACTCAGAACAACAGAGCCTTCCGCAAGGCAGAAGTGTCCTGTCTCACGGGACACAGCCCGAGCTGTCCAGGGCTGGCGGGGAGCCATGGGTCATCGAGGACCACGCCCCAGCCTATCGTGTCGCCGTTCTAGAGTCAGCCTCCATTCTCAGGTTCACCTCATGGCCCAAGATGGCTGCTGCTACTCCAGGCATCTCATGCATATCTGGCCAGGAAGAAGGAGGCAGAGAAGGGCAGAAGTGCTGCCCCACAGTGAGTCGGCCCCATTTGAGGATCGGCCCCTGAAAGCTCCAGGCACTTCTGCTCACTCTTCACTGGCCAGAACTGCATCCCACGCCATTCTTGGTGGGACAGCAGCATTTTAGGGGAGGGCATGGCCAGCCTGAACAAAACAGAGGACCCATGGCCTGTGCCTGTGCCTGGCGGGATGCTCAGCGTCCCCAGACACTGAAGCGCTCAGCGTGGGCCTGTGGGTTCCCCCTTCCTGGCGGTGCCCTGACTTCAGGCCGGAGGTTCCTTGTGGTACCTGTCGACCACCTGCTGTGCTGGCTCCGTGGTGCCACTGGGAGGCCCTGATTCCAGGAGGCCAGAGGGGACCGCGGGCAAGGGGAGGGGTGGCTGGGCCCTGCCCCTTCTCTCTCCACCCCTCCTAGGGGCCCACGTGGGGCAGGAGGGGTGTGGTGCGTCTGCGTGCGGGGCATCAGCAGGGTGGGCAGAAGCAGGAGAAAGGGGCACCAGCAGCAGGTGGGGGTGGGGGTGTTGGGTAGGAAACACTGGGCATTTGAGGTTCTTCTGGGGGTCAGCGTGCCCCCTCCATGCCATCCCCGGGAAGTGAAGGCAGGGGAGGGGAGAGGAGGGGACAGCTGGCCACAGTGTGCCAGGCACGCCCCAGACCTGCCTTCGTGGCTCATGGAGGACTGTGCCCTGTGCGACCTGCGCAGTCAGGCGAGGCTCCGTGCTCAGTTCACTGCCCCGCTGTTGCCGCCTTGAAATTCTTCATTACTGGGGAGGGGCCCACATTTTTCTCTTGCGCGAGGCCCCACAAATTCTGCAGCTGCCCTAGATAAGGTACAGGAATCAGGGCCCACAGGTGCTGCCTCTCCAGTTCATGCACACAGCAGGCTGGGTGGCTCTGTCCCCTCCAGGCAGGGTGGCAGGCTGGGTGAGCAGGTCGGGCTTGTTCTGGGGAAGAGGCAAAGGTGCTGAGGAGAGGCTTCGTGCTGGAGACTTAGCCAGACCTGCCCCAGCTCGGGGAGGGCGGTCTGCCCGCGAGTCCCACAGCCAGGGCACCACCAGAGACAAAGCCATCGGGCACCTCCAGCCACTCACTGGCTACAGGAGTAACATTGCTTTCTGGGCTCCTAGCCGAGCTACACACAGCAGGTGCTCAATAAATGCCCCTGGATGCTGGCAGGAGGTGGGTGCAGGTGGTCTTGGCAGGCAGCCAGGGTTGCGATGGAGCCTGGAGCCCCCTGCGGTTTGCAAACAGGGGTTCTGTCCAAGCCCGCTTCCCCAGAGCAGGGTGGAGCCCAGAGGAGACAGAGTCGTGCGAAAAGCACCTGTGAAGGCAGGACACAGGCGTGGCCCCAGAGCCGAACAGCCAGCGCTCTCCCCAGCGGCCACCCCTCCCTCCTAGGAGTGGCCAGATTCTCCTGAGGGACGTCCACCCCGAGGCTGGCCCGATCCCGGCCCGATCCCGTACCCCAGGCGGGGCACGGGATGGGACCTGGGGCATCACTGTGTCACTCTGGGGTAATCAGGCAGGCGGGGGGCTCGGTCTCAAGGGCGCACGTTGTGCCACGGGGAGGGGAGCAGAGCCGAACCCGGGGCGGGGAACGCGGGTTCTGAGGAGAAGCCTCCAAGCCCGCTTCTCCACACGGGGAGTCCAGGCCTCTGGAGCGCTCCTCTCCCCATCAGGGCATCGCAGGCTGGGACCACCCTTCCGGATGGCGCACTGGTGAGTCACTCAAGACAGACTCCAAGGAACTCCAAATGTTTCCGGGGGCATTTAGCCACTGGCTTCTCCAGTACTGCACCATTGTACAGATGGGAAAACAGAGACCAGGGAAGGGATCATTACTTGTCATATGGGTGTTTCCGGCTCTGCATGAGTCAGCAGAGCAAATCTGGAAATGTGAGAGGACCATGTGATGCCAGGGAAAGGTAGATCCAGGCTGAATCTGGCAGGGGCATGGGGAGAGGGCAGGGGCTGTGGAATGGGCAGGGGTATGGGGGAGAGGACAGGAGCATGGGGAGAGGGCAGGGTGTGGGGGAGAGGGCAGGGGCGTGGTGGAGAGAGCAGGGGCGTGGTGGAGAGGGCAGGGGCGTGGTGGAGAGAGCAGGGGTGTGGGGGAGAGGGCAGGGACTGTGGAATTGGCAGGCATATGGGGGAGAGGGCACGAGCATGGGGAGAGGGCAAGGGCTGGGGGAGAGGGCAGGGTGTAGGGGAGAAGGCAGGGGCATGGTGGAGAGAGCAGGGGCGTGGGGGAGAGGGCAGGGACATGGGAAGAGGGCAGGGGCTGGGGGAGAGGGCAGGG